TATCTCGATAACTCTAAATGGTTGATTAGTATCATTTGGTTCTGGGTCGTCTCAAATGCAGATTTTGCCACCTCACTCTTTTAATTCGCTCTTTAAGCATATTGAGAGGAGCCCATGAAAATATTGCACCCTTCTCACGATCCGTTGAGCAGAGAATTGCCTTTTTGTACGTATCACTGCATTTCTTCAGCATAAATCACGAATAAATGTCAATCATTCAGAAAATAAATAAACACGCTGGCAGCACCATGTTTTAAAGTGTGCTCCACCAGGATCAGTCTTTGATGATGATGCTGTAGTGTCATTTTAAATGCTTAATCGAACCGAACACATGTTTAGCCATGACTTGAAAGCTCATCATCGGTACCCATGCTGGCATAGATGTATACATACAAGCCATAACTTTTCCGCTTAATTTGGGGTTGTTTGGCGCAACTATTTCTCTGGTTTTGGCTGTTGCCGTGGCGATTCCAGTACAGCCGATGTGCTCGGCGGTAAATAGCTTAAATATTACCGCAGCATTGTCTGAATGAAGTACAAGCACTTCAAGCGAAAACGTAGTTTTACACAAAAACTCGTGCATTTACGGCATCCCTGTAGAATTAAGCGTTTAGCAATACCTGCTTGCCGCGAGCAAGAGCAACGTCTTCTGATGAAGCGATGTACCCTGTCGAGTGATTTATTGTCGTACGAGATAAATGGTGAGGGTTCACCGTCACTCACATAGGCATCATGCAAATCGAGGTAAGTGGCTTCTGGATAAGCTGATAAATCGAATGCTGCACAAAACCATGATGGCGAACATGTTTACCATTTACAAGTCTTCAGCGAAACGTATCCAAAATAACACCAGCATTAGCATTTCGGGATACATATTCATAGCGCAACACTCAGTGGGTAAGGAGTGTGGACACACATTTGAAACTTTCTTTAGTAGTCTTTAATATCCATACGATTTGACGCACACCAGCTTTTCGCCTTAAAATTTGCCCAGAGGTCACGATCAAACGTAGATACCGGTCAGCAATTCTAATTCAACGTAAATTTATACCTTCAAACGTCACAAAATGCCCCACTCAATATATAGAGTAGGTTATCAAATATAGTGTGCGACAAATTCGTCTTAAAATGCATTCAGACGTATGATAGCGAAAGTGAAGATCTCTCAAATATCTACAGGTGTAAACAACATTTGGGGTCTTCTTTTGCAACAATAGCCGAGTTTTCATCAACAGAACTTGATATTAATGGCTAATGCCGGCCAATTTATTCTTATCCTCCACATGCTACTTAATACACAACGAATTCCGTTTTCGTCTGATTTGTTCTGATATTCTAAGTGAGTATGTTTTCTTACCAAATCGCAAACAAAAACTGACTCTATCACTCGATGTGTGGCAAGTAACCCACGAGTATCACGGACCACCTATTTACAAAGTCTAATTATCATCGTTTATCGAAACACTTCAGTTCTAAAGAGTTTTCGAAAAAAATTTGCATCATAAAAAAGTGAGTTCGGTTCAATCGTACAGTATTGCGCTCAATACAATCGTACCAAAAAGGGGTGTTTATACAAAAGTGCTGCAGTTACCCCGTTCTACACCCACGAAGATGGTTACACACTTCTCTTGTTTCTTGAAGATATTTCGCGAAAATAATGCTCGACGAGCAACCCTGTCTTTTGCATTCTACCCCAACTGCTCTTCAAATCGAGAAAAGGCGCGGACCATGTTTACAAGCAATTCTCGGTGAACTTTCCAAGGTTATCTCTGATATGGGTGGTCACATTGACTACTAGATTTCTAACCAAACAATTTTGTTTTCACTCGAAGCCACACTTACCGATTTCTCGAGTAGGCATTCCAATGGCGGAAAGTGTTGCGATATCTCCTTGTAGAACTCCTAACAATGTCAATTTCGGACCGTCTGAAGCTTCTTGCTGCGCTAGGCCGAAGATCATTCGCACCTAAACGTGCGGGACTTTTGATCATTCCAAAAGTAAAATGGAAAACAGAAAATTGCGTTGGGAGCTATTTGAATCCCAGCAAGTCATCACTCCTCAGAAGTATCGCCTACGAATGGAGCAACAGCAATTAAGGGAACCTTTACTATTCGAGTAAATTCTCGATACTTTAAAGTGTCAAGAGTGATGACGCCTACCGAAGTCAACTCGCGCACTTGGTGGGGTGGCCATGCCGTCTCATCTGTTTTTAGTCTTTGTGAGCCAGCTATCGTCCGACTAGAGCGTGGGGCAATTGACATTGCAAAGTACGACGCACGACGCAAACGCTAACATGATAGTCCACAACCTTTAGTTCCTGCTGTTGAGAGTCTTAAACTCGTCTCTTTGCGACGACTGTTACAGCTGCCAATGAGAATCCTACTCACCACAAGGTCGGTTCCTATCCACTAGTAAAAAGTGTGGTACGACAGGCGACCTGACTCTTCTCCATGGAAGCACATGCCGAGGGTGTGCAAAGTTCAGAGTGGTCACGGCTTCAGGGTTATCGTAATGAAGCGGTGCACTGAACTTACCATGATTTTACCAAATCAAGATATTTTTTACTCCACCAGATATCGGTAAAAGCTCTGGTATACACGCTGGCCCACTAAATCTTTCAGAAAGAGACTCATCTATTGCTCATCGAGTAGTACTGGTGGTTGCCGACCCACCGGCTGTTCATTCTCGTAAGCTATCCCTGCTGTTGCTCCACAA